TGCTGGGGAAGAGGGGAGTTTGGTTAGATCTGTGGGAGTAGGAACCGAAGGGTCCTGGAAAGGTCCTGGTGGGGGACGCCGCTGACACTGGGGACCTCTGGTGAGAAGGGGCGCTGGGAGAAGGCAGCGCCGCGTTGAGGGACCCTTCCTGCTACTGGGATTGTGAGGTGGGGAGAAAGGACTTGTTAGTACTCGGCAGAGTGGGTTGCTTAGGGGAAAATAAAAAACGACGCTGCTGTTTTACACAGGAAACGAAGAAGGCTCTTGCTACTCTGTTGGATGGAAAAATAAAAAAGATCATTGGGAAGCGAGAAAGAGACCTCAGCAGTTGAGTCAATGTAACTTAAAGCCGGGTCGCCGGCTGCAGCCCTTGGGCGGGGGTTAGCGGTGCCGCTCAGTTTAGCGTCTGGGCCCCGGGGCAGAAGCTGGAGGATGCCCGGGCGGTGGATGCAGCTACTCTTGCCAGAGCGAGCCGCCCCCCACCCCGCCACCGTTCCCCATCCTAATTTGTGGGACCTTCTTCCTATCCGATAGAATGGGGACCCTGAGTCTTTTGTAAGGGGCCTTCATCCCCCCCAAAAAAGTTTTGTTTTTTTTTTTGAGGGACACGACTAAATGATAACTTTTTTTTCCCCTTGTTTATATGTTTTTAAAATTACAAAAGCCTCCTGCCCCAGTGGTCTGGAAGAAGCTGTAATTATTTTCTTTCTTCTTGGAGACAGTGGTGAAATATGCCCACTGCCTGCAGCTGTTTAAAAAGCAAGAGAATCTAAGTTTCTCAAACTTGGACAGAGGAAAGAAAGAAAAGAAAGAGTGAAAACATTCTTGCTTGCTTCTGCCGTCATTGTCCAGCTGCCCCCTCCCTCCAGGACCAGCCCCTCCTTCCTCTACCCTGCTATTGTTTTTTCCCTGTTCTTCTTGGGGTCCGAGTTAAAATCTTTTTCTTTTTCCCTGGTGCATTTTGACCTTGAGTGCAGAGCAAGTTAGGGCTTCCTCCAGGCGCAACCCCTCAGTCCCTTTCTTCTCCCTCCAGCTTGCTTCCCTCCCCAGCCTGCCTCAAGTTAACCCTTCCCTCAATAAGAATGAAAGGGAAAAGACTCAGCCAAGGCCCTTTGCTGAGGGGCTCCTGTCCTCCAGTCCCGTGTTCCTCTCCCCTCATTCCCCTGCACCCGCCGTGGTCCACCGGGGAGGTACTGTGGTTTCTGAGCTGCGCTCTGACAAACTAAACATCTTCTTCAGCGGGGTGAACTTTTCGAGAGGCCTCCAAGTTCATAGAATCGTTTAGAATGTTTTAATA